ATCTGGGATGGTTTTCGCATCGCCTCCTCCCATTGTAAATTAGATAAGATTTTTATGCCAATAAATCTAGGGAATAGAGGTATATCTGTTTAGGTGAATTTTTTGGAAATGCTTACAGTGTGGAGTGGGATGAAGTTACAAATTAGCTTCTGGAGTTACAATAAAAAAGCTGAATAGCTTCTACATTTCTATTGTATGATTTAAACATTTCTGAATTTGTTGTGAATTTCAAAATGCCACGCACATTTACAATAACATCTAAATTCCAATTTCAGAGCAAAATAGTTATTTCTAGATTAGTTGTACATTAAAACTTGTTTTTTCTTTACTTATTAATTTAACAAAAACAAATGACATAATATCTATAAAACCCTTATAATGAGATCTAGAAATTTGTATTCTATTATTATTATTGTTAATAATCAAGACTTAATGTAGCCTGAGTTCTTTCTACTGTACTACATACAAGACAATATGACAGGATGAAAAAAGGTCTGGACCAAGTCATTAGAATATATTTGGAGAAAGGATCTCAGCAGTATATAGTAATAGATTGAAAATGTGATAAGACATGTCTTCAAGACTTCTGATTGGTTATGTAAATTACAATAATGGGTCTCATATAATTAAGTCTTTAGGGCATTATTCTTGAAATTTCTAAAAGTTTTGAATATCTTTTGCCTGAAGCAATTTAAAGTTATGACTTAGAAATTTGCAGAAGCTCCAGAGAGCAAGAAATATTTAAATTGCCTCCCTGGGCCCAAGGAAGATTCTTTAGAGAATTTACTGGGTCTTCTCAATGGGACAATGTTTCCACCCGGGCTTCAAGGGCAAATGAAATGTGCTATATTCACAAAATGAACTGCCCAATATTTTCTTCTCCTCTTACTTTTGACCTAGCAGAACCAAATTACTCTCCCTTTGTAAATGTATCTGATGTAATGTATGCAGTTTTGAAACAATTTAGAAATAATACTTTGTTATCAATGTTTTACAGATAATATACCCTGTGTCATTATGGCTTCCAAACAGTAATCCCTTCTTCAGAAATTCATCAGCTTCACAGAAAATTTTGTTGAACAGCCTAAAAATAGAAGATCAAGGCAAAACAATCTGCTGTGCATTGCAACCTAGGAAGTGAGCTGACCTTCCATTTAGAGGTAATTGCTGAAGCCATACTACTAACACAAATCTAAGGGGGCGGGGTGGGGGGTGGTTAGCCTTATGAAATGAATTGAAATAAGCCATGTCTTTTGAAAATGTGATATTTCTTATTAGAGAAAGTGTACAGGAAGTCTAAAAAATCCAAGAGGATTGTCTCAGACATAGTTAGAAAATTGAAAAAAAGAAAATATTACCAAACGACTACTTGCATATCCAAAGTAATCTAAGCATTCAAAACAGATGATGTTTAGGTGTATAGTTGTTTTCATAAACAGTCCTACTGCAGAATAGATTTATAATTTCTAACTGGGAATAAAGATTCATTGATCAAAATATAGTTTTGTGGTCCTCACTTTATTACAAGCACACAGATATGTATCTAACAGTAGCATTTCTCTTCTGCTGCTCAATAGGCTGCCAATCTGTACTCTTGATCCAGAATGCAAAGAAGCCTGTTACCACCGAAGTTCTGATTATGTGGCCATTTAAATCACAGCACCAATTCAGTTTGATTTTATTCAGTTTAGCAAATGTTCGTCCAATACTAACCATAAGTGGACAATGTTCTAGCATAGTCCCTGTCCCAGAACCTCTAACTAGGCATACTATTTGAAACACAAATACTTTATTACTTGTTCTTGAATATATCTTTGAATTTGTGAAAAATGTAAATGAAGAGGAGCAACGAGTCTTTAGTTAATAGGAAGAATTGACTTCTTATGCTTGCCTGAGTATTTTGGAAAAGTTTGAATATTTTTAATTTTTTTGTTGCTGGTAATGCATTTGTATGGTGACTTTAGATGTAACATTTGTGAGATACACACACACATTTAAATTTTAGATGAATGAATTGCAATAGCCTCTGTTTAAAAATGTCACCCTATACGTTCCTTGTTTGAAACTGCAATGGACTTTTGTTATAATGGTATAACACTGTTTGCTGCAAAGTGAGTAGACTTTGGTAAAATGCGCATCCATCTCATATCATGGATGTGATAAAAAATAGGTTGAGTTAGATGAAAGGAGACTTGATACCTGAGAAAGTGTGATTGATGAAATTCCGAAGATACTTGTGCAGCGGTTGATACTGGCGACAGAGATATAAAAGAATATTTGAGAGAAGAACAAGTCAGTAGAAGATAAAAAGAAACAAAAATAGTGCTTACTACATTCTATGTACTTTACATGCATTGCCTATTTATTCTTCCGAGAACCCCATTATAAGCCTATTACGACCCCCATGTTATAGATGAAGATAGTGAGATTCAGAGAATGTATAAATTGCCCATGGTCACAGCTAGTAACTCACCAAGATAGGACTTCAGCACCTGTCCTCTCTATTAGACAAAGTGGACTTGACACAATAATAGCTGCATTGTGGCAGTGGTTAGAAGAACGTTTCTTACCATGAAATTGCTTCTCAGTCACAATTTAACGGGGAATTGGAATTGAGGTGGCTTTATTTATAACATAGCATTTAAAAAGTGAATCTAGGATTTAGATAAAAAAGGATGTATTTCTAGGGTATAAAAGAATCTCGAAGTGTAAAAAGTGGAGTTGATGGAAATAAGGGGCAGAATAGACTGAAAGGAGAAATACCCTTATAATGGCCAAAGGCAGATCTGGTTAGTTAGATGCTGGTTGAAATAGGTTCAAAGAACTCAGTTTAGACCTTAAACTTGTGCCAAGCTTTGTGAATAAAGAAAAATGGCCTATGTGTTAAGTGCCTAGTTTGTTTTCAGAAATTACTTTTGTTTCGTGAACTAAGTGGAGCATTTTCATCAATGGACAATGATACTACTGGAAATTTGTTTGTGTAGAGGGGTAGTGGGGTTGGGAGAAATGACTGTTCCCAAGGAAAAATTAAGAGATAGTTTGAGACTTTCTGAGGCAAGGTTAAGCAAAATCCACCATTCCCAATTCCCAGGGAATGGCTATTTTCCAGTGGATTTTTTCCTGCAGTGTTACCCAAAGTGAGATGTGCTGTCAGAACATGTCTCTTTAGTCATAGGCTTTCTTTGCATCATGTTCAATGGGACTTAGGCAGCAACCAATTAAAATGGCAACTAAAAGGTGTTTCCATTAGAGAATGAGAAGACAAACCAGCTACTGGGAGACAGTATATGCAAGTCACATGATAAATAATTCCTATCCAAAATATATAAAGAACTCTCAAAACTCAACAAGAAAAAATAAACCTCAATTAAAAATAAGCAGTAGGACCAGCAGGGTGGTGCATGCCTGTAGTTCTGTGTTCTGGTTAAGTTGGTGGTTATATGAATCTATAGTCCCAGCTACTCAGGATGCTGAGGAGGGAGAATGGCTTGAGGCCAGGAGTTTGAGGACAACCTGGGAGAAACAGCGAGACCCCATTTTTGTTAACAGAAAAAGGGGACAAAAGATACGAATGGATACATTACTAAAGAATGGAAAAAAATATAGAAAGAGGTTCAACATCATTCGTCATCAAGGAAATGTAAAATAAAATCATAATTAAATATGAATATATATCTATTAGAATGAATAATTACAATATTAAATGATGATATGGAAAGCAAGGAACATTCTCGTACATTGTTGGTTGAAATGCAAAACTGGTACAGCCACTCTAGAAAACTGTTTGGCAGCTTCTTATACATTTAAGCATGCTTATTATCTCATTCCTGGATATTTATTCTTAAAAAAAAAAAGCTTTTGGTCATACAAAAATTGAGGCAGAAATATTTATAGCAGCTCTTTCCATAATTGCCAGAAACTGGAAACAATCCAAATGTCCTTCAAAAGGTGAACAGATAGGCAAAATACAGTAATCTACTCAATAGAATACTATTTAGCAGTAACAATTTGAATGGATCTCAGAGGCTTTAAGTGAAAGAAACCCAACTCCCGTGGCAGTGGCTCATATGATTCTATTTATATGACATTCTGGTAAAGGTAAAACTATAGGGATAGAAAATATCAGTGGTTGCCAGGATATATAGGTAGGTAGAAGAGGTGACTAAGAAAAGAATATCACAAAGAAGTGTTTTGGGGTAACAGAAGAGTTCTGTGTTCTGGTTATGGCCGTGGTTTTATGAATCTATAGGTGTTTTAAAATTCATAGAACCACACGCTAAAAGATAAAAAGTCAATTTATGGTATGACATCTAACTGTATGATAATTTTAAAAAACAACAAAAAAATTCCACCCCTAACCAAAGAAAAAGGTGTTTGCACTTTAACACTAAGATTTTGGATTATTGGGCTTTACGTGAATTGGTCATGTTCTCTGGATAATCAGGAACACAGTAATCACTGGTTGGGTTCATTTCTGATGATTCTACCTCCAGATTGACACACTTCTTTCAGTGTTGGAATACACATGGGTTATTTTTGAGTTCTCCTGACCTGGGAGTGAGGTTTTAAAGTAAATTACCAAATCTCTTATGCAATATACTCTGTATTGCTTTTATAATTCACTAAAAAACTTCAGGCAAGTATGGGTCACAAGCAGGTAGTCTTGGAGTCTAGGCTGTGCTGCACATTAGTTATGTGATTTTAGGCTGAACTCTCTCTCTCTTAAGGTTTTCTTATCTTTCAAATGATAATGTGGAGTTTAAAGGAAGCAATATGTGAAAAAAAAAATCACAAAATTCCTGGCCAAGAATGAGTGATCAATATCACAAGCTTTCCCCTCTTATTTCTTTACCTGCATTGTTCATTCTTTTCATTCCCTTTCCCTATATTCCTTCCTCCTCTTCCCTATTTTCTCTCTTTCTTCAATTCTTTTATTGGGTTCATGGAAAATTTTTATATTTGTATATTGGTATACTTGCATTTACCATGTAAATAAATTATATTAAAAAATTTTTTTGACTTCTTACAGGTAAAAGAGAGATATTTAAATGGAATGGGAAAACCAAACCATTCCGGTGGAATTTTTTCTGAAGGGACTTTCTGGTTACCCAAGGCTTGAGTTACTCTTTTTTGTGCTAATATTCTTAATGTATGTGGTCATCCTTCTAGGCAATGGTACTCTCATTTTAATCAGCATCTTGGATCCTCACCTTCACACCCCTATGTACTTCTTTCTGGGGAACCTCTCCTTCTTGGACATCTGCTACACCACCACCTCTATTCCCTCCACCTTGGTGAGCTTGCTTTCAGAAAGAAAGACCATTTCCCTTTCTGGCTGTGCAGTGCAGATGTTCCTTGGCTTGGCCATGGGGACAACAGAATGTGTGCTCCTGGGCATGATGGCCTTTGACCGCTATGTGGCTGTCTGCAACCCTCTGAGATATCCCATCATCATGTGCAAGGATGCCTATGTACCCATGGCTGTTGGGTCCTGGTTTGCAGGGATTATCAACTCTGCAGTACAAACTACATTTGTAGTACAATTGCCTTTCTGCAGGAATACTGTCATCAATCATTTCTCCTGTGAAATTCTAGCTGTCATGAAGATGGCCTGTGCTGACATCTCAGGCAATGAGTTCATCATGCTCGTGGCCACAATATTGTTCACATTGATGCCACTGCTCTTGATTATTATTTCTTACTCATTAATCATTTCCAGCATCCTCAAGATTCACTCCTCTGAGGGGAGAAGCAAAGCTTTCTCTACCTGCTCAGCCCATCTGACTGTGGTCATAATATTCTATGGGACCATCCTCTTCATGTACCTGAAGCCCAAGTCTAAGGAGACATTTAATTCAGACGACTTGGATGCTACCGACAAAATTATATCCATGTTCTATGGGGTGATGACTCCCATGTTGAATCCTTTAATCTACAGTCTTAGAAACAAGGATGTGAAGGAGGCAGTGAAACACCTACTGAACAGAAGTTTCTTTAGCAAGTGAGTGCAAAATATACTGGAATATGAACACACTCGATATTGTTGAAACTTCAGAATTATATTAGAATTTTGGATACTTTAACTGTTTTTCTGCATTTTCATATGTTATGTTAAAATAATGAGATACGGCATTTCAGAATTATTGCATGTCCACTCTAGAGAATTTGCAACATACAGGGCAGTAGGATGAAGAAGAAAGAGGGGTTACCTGTTATTCTAATAGTGGGAATGGCCACTTTTCAACATTTTGAACAGTATCTTTCATATTATTATTATTTTTTTCTGCATTGGAATAGGGTGCGATGTGCCTTTTTATGTTCACTTTTTTACATAACGTTATTTCATAGGCAACATTTCATTGAATCTTTTAAAATAAATAAAGCCATCTGTTGTAGAAAAAGCAAAACAGAAAATGCCCAACATACTGCACTCACATTTTCCAGTGGCAAGTCTTGTGTTATAGTTTCACATTAATCTTCAGATCCTGTTGAGTCATAAAATACTATTTTCTTGTTGTGTATTTAATTTAATTTAATTTTTTTTTTTTTTTTTTTTTGTGAAGCTGAGTATTTGGGACTATCAAGGTGGAGTAGATAAATAGAGTTTAAAAGTAAGGCCTACTGCAATCAATCAGGATATCCTGCTTTATGGTCTTTCTTTGCTTTAACTTATAAGTTGGCTTTAGCATAAAGAACATTTTGCAAAATTAAAAATGGGTTTGAAAATCAGTCTACTGGTCCAGATAATAATGTGGACTAGTTCTGGGTTGAATGGAGTGTCCTATCAATGCCCATTTAGAAGATGCCAGATTTCTTTGCTATCCCAAGGAAATTTCAACATTTTTCCAAGTCTTAGAAGAATGTCCAAGTTTTTAATTTTTAGTATGAATACTATTCATGTCTTGTCTCTGTTACTAACCAGGTTGATTTGAGGAAGAAGAGGATTTGGGAATGTCAGACACTATCTTACTTTTCCTTGTTTTTTATGTCAATTTTTTACTCTATGTGAAGAACATTTTAAATTTACAGCCCAAGATGAATGACAGAGTGTGCTCAGGAGTGAACCACATTCTAAGAAATCAGTTTGGCTGAATCAATTTTTTTTAATGGACCAGCGAATGTAGATTATATTGGGCATGAACATGTTTTACACAAATAAGAATTACCTGCTTGTGGAATCTTTTGGGTTTAGTCACTCATTTAATCTTCCCAAGTTCACTTGTTAATTTTAGTGGATGGAATATTAAACAGTAACAAAATATATTTAAATATATCCATCATAATTGTTTACAGATTAAATCCGATGGCAAGAGTTGAGATCGTTGATAATCAAATTTACAACCTGACAAAATAGGCTATGAGAATCTATTAGTTCCCATACACCAGTTCATTGGACTTTTTGCACCCACTAAGAATTCCCGGTTGGAAGAAAACCCTGGCAGTCAGGCATTTTATGTTTGACCCACAGGCAGGTTGTCTTGAATGCTCAAGTTCTAATTTTATTTTCCTTCACAACTTAAATCCAGCCCTCATTAATTCTCTGGGATGACTGAGGTAGCTCCATAGTCTTATATCAGATTTATACCTTTTTTTTTTTATTATTATACTTTAAATTCTATGGTACATGTGCTCAACGTGCAGGTTTGTCACATAGGTATACATGTGCCATGTTGATTTGCTGTTCCCATCAACTCATCATTTACATTAGGTATTTCTCCTAATGCTATCCCTCTCCCAACACCCCACCCCCTGACAGGCCCTGGTGTGTGATGTTCCCCGCCCTGTGTCCAGGCGTCCTCATTGTTCAATTCCTACCTATGAGTAAGAACATGCGGTGTTTGGTTTTCTGTCCTTGTGACAGTTTGCTGAGAATGATAGTTTCCAGCTTCATCCATGTCCCTGCAAATGACATGAACTCATCCTTTTTTATGGCTGCATAGTATTCCATGGTGTATATGGGCCACATTTTCTTATAGCATTATATACTGCTTGAGGATATCTTTTCTTTTCTTGCCTTCTTTTACCTTCTCTTTCTGTCCCTGCCTTCCTTCCTTTATCCTTTTCCCATTCCTCCATCCTTCTCTTCCTTCTGTCCTTTCATTCTTTTATTTACAGTATGTATCACCATTAGAATAAATGAAAATATATCAATGTCAAAGAGTATACCAATAAACTCATTGCTACATGAAAATATCATGAATTGAAAATGCATTTAATATATCTAACTTGCCAAACATCACAGCTTAGCCTGGCCTACCTTAAATATGCTCAGAAAACTTACATTAGCCTATGGGTGGGCAGAATCATGTAACACAAAGCCTATTTTATATCAAAGTGTTGAATATCCTAAGTAATTTATTGAATACTGTGCTGAAAGTGCAAAATAGAATGGTTGTATGGGTTCTTGAAGTAGTTTTTACTGAATGCATATTATTTCACACCATCTATAAATATATGTTTATTCAGAGTCAGCTTTTACTATAAACTAAATCCATAAGGTGAATGGACAATTTGTGTACAGAAAACATCAATTATACTTCCAAAATGATGAGAGAGATAGAGAGAGAGAGAGAGAGAGAGAGAGAGAGAGAGAGAGAGAGAAAGAGACTGAGAGAGAGAAAGAGAGAGAGAGAGGAGCTCCCTTCTGATTTTGTGTATGAAATAGAGTAATAGGCCTCCCATAATTAGGTCTTCAGGGCTTTACTTCTGAAGTTACATAAGTTTTATACACCTTTCATCTTGCAGACAATTTAAAGTTATGCACAGAGGTTTAGAAGAGTCCTTAAGAGCAGAATATTTAAATTGTTTCTTAAATCCTGAGGCAGATCTTTAGGAATTTGTGGGTCTCCACAATGGGATGGTATTTCAGCATGCACTTCAGAGGCAAATTCAATTTGCCCTAGTCCTAAAATTTATTGCCAAATACTAATTTTCTTTCTATTTTTAAACTAGAGGAATCCGATGATACTTTTTCTAAAGTAGAAGAATTTCATGACACTTTATCCTAGTAATCATGTCCATAACACCATGTTTCTGTAAACATCAACTAGTCAATCAATTTCTACGACAAAATGATTACTCACTCTTCTTGCCTCCTTGGAGATTCAGCTACTAATGAGTGGCTATGAAGACTGGCTGCAAGTAGAAAAGTAAGACAAAATTGTCTGTTGCTGTTGCAACCTATAGAGAGAGACAACCTCTCGTTTGGAGGTAAGTTATTGCAAAAACAAGAACAATGTTTCAACTGTAAGCCAGACTTGGACTGATCAGTTAAATCAGTTTGAAAATGAGATTTTTTTTTTCTTCATTTGAGAGTGACTTTGAATACTGGAAATGGAATTTAAGTGTCTATTCGCTGGAATGTAGTAGGAACAAAATAAAAGCCGTGAGACCAAAAGAGCAGTTCTGCGTGCAAAGGCAATTGAACAAAAACTGAATTTGCCCAGCCCTTATGAATTACTTTTTGTCAGTGTGCAGTTTTTTATGACATTACAAAGTACTTGGACACTGTGTCATCTACTTTAGCTAATTAAAGCTCATTACACAGTAAATAGCAGATTGTGTGTTCTTTAGTATAGAATTCTTTTTTTTTTTTTTTTTTTTTTTTTTTGAGACGGAGTCTCGCTCTGCCACCCAGGCTGGAGTACAGTGGCCGGATCTCAGCTCACTGCAAGCTCCGCCTCCAGGGTTCACACCATTCTCCTGCCTCAGCCTCCCGAGTAGCTGGGACTACAGGCGCCCGCCACCTCGCCCGGCTAGTTTTTTCGTAATTTTTAGTAGAGACAGGGTTTCACCGTGTTAGCCAGGATGGTCTCGATCTCCTGACCTCGTGATCCGCCCGTCTCGGCCTCCCAAAGTGCTGGGATTACAGGCTTGAGCCACAGCGCCTGGCCCTTTAGTATAGAATTCATATTAAACAAATCCTTGACTGTGGTTCCCTAGTGGTAACTCAGGTCCATTTGGTTCAGTTACCCATGAACAAGTTGGACTGTGTGCTACATACTTGCCAGGGACCCTTTATACAACAATATCATGTGAGGAGAACATTATGACAAATTTGGAAAATTTAAAAAAAGCTACATAATCTCTTGGGATCTGAAACATATAATTTGCTAAAGGAATGCACAGTCAGAAAGAGACCATCTTAGAGAATATCCGTATGTGCTTGCATTAGCTTTGGTGACTATTTTGAATATTTGCTTTTCTGTCATTAGGTCATAGTAACTTTCCTTTTCCTCTTTTATGTTAATAGTCTTGCTCAAGATGTTAAAATAGTTTCAGTCAAGAAGAACTCAGCCATGTTAAGTTTTCAAACTAGGAACACACTGGCACCTTATTAAAATCCTATCTTTTATACCTAATGTAAATGATGAGTTAAGGGGTGCAGCACACCAACATGGCACATGTACACATATGTAACAAACCTGCACGTTGTGCACATGTACCCTAGAACTTAAAGTATAATAATAATAATAAAAAAGACTTCAAAAAAAAAGATAAGGTTTTATATCCAATAAAACTGTCAAGTATAAGAAGACACAATAAACTTATCAACATGAAAAAAAACCCTATCGTTTTTATGAAATAGATTGACTTCAATAAAAGGCGGATCTTTTGGATGATTTTTCTTTTCTGCCACCTAATTTACTGGCATCCAAAGGGTTGGAGTGACCGTGATAAAATGTATCAGAATTTTAAAAAATGAAAATAATGCCATTCATTAGAACATTGTGTGCAATCTAAGTAAGCTACATATCCCTGACCTCATGGAAGGACGATAATGATTAGTTCAGGGATGTAAAAAAACTCTTAACAGAATGAAAAGTCATAAAAGACAAGCATGAAGGAAACCACTAACAATAGGAACCATTCCTGTGCTAAGTGAGTTACACACATCATTTCATTTAATCTTATGCACAAGTACATGGTATAGATGTTGTCCATATCTTCATTCTACTGATGACGATGGCGATCAGAGACATGTCCAGGTCACCTAGTTAACAAGGGGCAGAGATGGCATTTGAACCAAGCCTCCTCCAAAGTCTGTGACCTTGACAATATTATGAAATATGCTTGATAGTGTGTCTTGTAGCACAGAGGTAGCTCATGAAACAATGATATTTGCAGAGAGCAGATTTTTACAGGTGTGCATATAATCTCTTTTTTTTATTTATTTTTCTGTTCAACTTTTATTTTAAATTCAGGGAGGTGTACATGCAGATTTGTCATCTGGGTATACTGTGTGATGCTGAGGTTTGGGGTACGGATGATCCTGTCACCCAGCTACTAAGCATGGTACCTAATGTATATTTCAAAATTGCTAAAATAATAGATTTTAACATTCCCACTATAAAATAATAAATTTGTAAGGCAATGGATAGGTTAATTATCTTGACTGAATATTTCTACAATGTAAATGTAGATCAAAACACACACTGTATCTCATAAATGTACAAAGTTATTATTTGTCCATTAAAAAATAAATTTTGAAAAGGTTAATAGGGCCTCTCTTTTTCTCTCAGTGAATTACAGATATTGAGGCGTCATCTTTCTCTGTCTGACTCAAGTGCATAAGAACATTAAACAGATGAAGATACATACACACACACATTTGGATAAATGTGGTTCAAAACAAAAAGAGTAAGAAACAAATAAACATCAAAGGACATACATAAATTCTCAGCCCCGAAGGAACCTTTGTTCAGCTTATTGTTGCTATTTCATAGAGACAAATGGATCCTCTGGTGCCACCTCCTCAACATACAAATCAATAAATATAGCCTACATGTGTTCCTGAAATCTGTAAATTGGGGTCATAAATCAAATTAACTTTTTCCCCCAAATGTCGGCAGGGAAAGGAAGAAGGGAAACCCTCCATCTTCTAAATATTACTGTGTACACAGTTCTCATTCTTCACACTTCCACTCTAATCTCACTTTCTCCAGTTAAACAGTTTTGACTATTTTAATTTTTACACTATTTATCAGTTAATTACAAAAGTTTTTGTGCTGCTTTACTTCTTATACAACACTGGGCCCAATAAAATTAAACTGTAATTTGTTTATCTGTCAGGGTAGAGATCACTTAAGTAGAACCAAAATGAAACAAATAAAAATCTACACTACAAGATGAACTGAGCCAACTATAGAGACCACTGAGATGGTGGCTGCTTTTTTGATACTAGACAGTTACATATTGCCCAATTCCATTTAATATCAAATCTATGTCGAGAGAACGAATCATTCTCCAAACATTACAAGTTGTTTGATATCAAAGAACAAATATTTTTCTGTCATTGTTTCTTTATGCCTGTCCTAAAAACAAACAAACAAACAAACAAAACACGAATTGCAGCTTATTTGATATTTCTGTTAAACTTTTGGTGACAGGATAATTCACTGGTGAAAATATTAGAGGAATCAAAATCCCCTATGAGAATGACATTGAGAGACTATGATCAATATTTGGTTAACTATGTAATGTACAACAGATATACAGAGACTCTGATTTATGGGGGCAGAGTTTTAAGGCAGAAATATTGTTTATGTTTTTTTTTTTTTTAAAGTAACTCT